CTCTTGGGAAGGGCCAGTGGCTCCAAGGGGCATCATCGGCGACCTGCGACAGCTGGAACTTGTCCGTGCCCGGTTCGCTGCCTTAATGCAGTCGGGCAGAAGGGCTGTGGAGCGTGTACCGCAGTCGCGTGGGGACAGAGCTTTCCCTCAGTTCAGGAGACTCGGGGGAGATCAGGAGCCATCTTTATAGACAGTCCTTTTAGCAGGGGCTTGGGAATTTCCATCTTGTCAGTGCCCTGTGGGAACCACTGCATGTTTGCTTTTTCGAGGGCTTTGTCAGCTCATTTTTACGTGATGAAATTTGGCCTTGTTATGTCCCTCTAAAGCTGGGATTGGTGGTTCCTGAGTGAATCCTGCTTCTGAGAATGGGTCTGTACCAAAAACATGCATAGGTTTTTGTTCTCCCTTTCCTACGGTTGAGGCAATTAAAAATCTTTGTTCTGCAAGGTGCTAGATACAGCTCATAACACGAAAAACTGGTTAGCACAGCTCTTTGTTCCACAGCTGTGACCTTGTCAACATTTGAGTGCTGGCTGCAGTTTTTCCTCCTGTCAGTGTATTATAAACATGAAACATTTATTTCACCTTCTCTTCTTATATTCTCTTTGTTGTTAGAAAATGAAGACTCAGCCCAAAAGACAGAGCCTGCAGATCAGCTAGTTGATTCTTTGGAGTCCAGTACTTCGCAGAGCGGGTAGGAAAATTCTTGTGTGTTGTGGCCCACTTGCATGACAGTCTGTTTCACCCCTGTGACCTCTTCTGTGTGCCAGTTTGTTCTGCGCAGGTGAAAGGAAGGGACTGGAGATTGAATTGTCTGCTTTGGGACAGTAAATACCAGAATGAGTATGGGAGGGCCTGTTCTTACAGGCTTTAAGGTTATTTTAAAGCTTATGAGGTGTAGTTCATGGCTCAGCTATTCAAATCACAGAGTCATTCAGTGTGAAAGGAACCCTGCAAGGTTTTGTAGTCTGTTGTAAGAGCTAATAAACTTTCAGTGGAAAATTTTCAGTGTTCCATCTGAAGGATATTTTAGTAATTGAGCATTCCCACTGTCTGTAATTCTGATGGAGGCTGTGCAAGAAGACACCTTTTACCGTTTTCTTGACAATATTTTGGCTTTTTTCTTCATCCTTTGTTTTCTCTGTCATGCCATTAATGCTGCCTATCAACCCTGTTGTCAGATGTTTGGCTTGTTGGTATCTGTCGGGCATATGGTGTTTGTGGCCAAGTAATTTCATTGGTTACAAGCACACATGCAATGGAGTTTCATTTGCCATTATACATTCGATGCACAGGATATGGTTTCAAAAATGTGTGAATTAAATACAGTGGCTAAACCACAGCTTCATTGAGAAAGGCGGAAAAAAATCCAGGAAAGAAAAACTGCAACAAACTACCCTACTTACTAAGGGAGCAGTTTGATGCCATCTTGGCTTGATGCTGATGACCTGTGTATCAGCCTTCTTGACTCTAAATGAGTTCTTCCATCTCCCTATAATATCCTCTGTTTTTCTTTTAAGAGATCAATACAGACCATGAGCAAAGTGGCCAGAGTAGATGATGGATACCTGTGGAAGTTACCTAACAAAATTGTCTTAAGTTAGATTTCCTTTGAAAGGGATGGAAATGATCCAGAAGGGTTGTGTGAGGAGGAATCAGCTGAACTCTATCTTTGTAAGTCTGCCTGTAAAGCCTGTGTAGCCCTTCCTAATCTTTCAATGAGACTCTTAGGTATCTGTGTTGTCCAGAGGAAAAAATTCCAAAGCTGTTAGCTCCTATGTTGAGGGAGATGTGTGCATCTATGGTAGCAAGTGACCAAACACCCCTTCTAGGTGAGTCCACGCAACTACTAAACTAAGGGGCAAATAGGCTGGAAAATGATGGCGTAGAAGTCTTAAGAATTCTTCTTATAAAAAATTATTCTCTCCAAGTGTTCCTTCTTTTCTTATCTTGTTCATCTGCTGCCATTTTCTGATCCTGAAATTCAGCTCGTTTGAATTGTACTTACTGACCTTCTGGTCTATTGTGCCAGTTCTAGGAGAGGAAATCACACTGTTGAGAGAATTTAAGTAAAAAATGGCTATGTTTCTGTACTTCATGGGAGTAAAGATTTGGAAACAAGAGCCACATTTGCCCTGTTCAAGTATTCTCTGTGAATTCAGGAAGGAATATATCCGAACTGTGGTTTTGTTTTGGTTTGTTTTTTTTTAACTATTCCACACTTTACTGATAGTTTGCTTTCTTGCTAATGACAATATTTCTCGTTTCTGAAAGGAGACATTTGAGGAAATCCATATATTTTCCATTACTGCTATGTTCTCAAGTTTCTGATCCTTTAGACTAAAGCAGTTGACACTGGTTTTATAGCGCTGTGAGAAGGCTTTGCTTTTCAAAAGGGCAGCTGTTTCTATTCGTATTTAATACTAGGTTGCTTCTCATGGAAGTTTCACGTATATGAGAGCGTTACAGAGGACAGACACTCTGCTGGCATCCATCTGTGTTCATTTGGGATGATAAGTCTTTCCTATTGAAAAAATGCAGCATTTTTTCAATATAATTTAGAACAAAGTCCTCAACCAAGAATAAATGCAAAAGATGTTTCCTTTCTTGCCCATTCTTTTCCTGCTACATACCTTTCTTTCTGTTTTAACATGTCCTATTGTTACAGTGCAGTACTCGGACCTCTTTGCTATTACTGTACTGCCATTGTATGTCTTACAGCTTGCTTATCTGTGGGAAGTGTATTTGAATATGGCAGAGACACCTGGGTGCTCCCTGTATCTGTTGGGCTTGCTTTTGGAAAGGCATAATCGGCTACTTAAATAGATGGCATTCTCAGGATGGCTGTCAAAACTGTTTTGAGTTCTTTCATTGAGCAGATGACCTCTGATGGAGTATGCAGATGTCATGCAGTAGCTGACACAAAAGAAGTTGTCCCTTCTTGGGCAGAAAAGTTGGCGCTGATGTCTACCCTTAGTACAGTGTTGGTGAGCTAGCATTCTGTGGGGTGAGTGCAGTGAATTTCTGCGGTTTAAAGGACAGTAAATAAGGAGTATTCCACTGAAGTTGCTCTCTCTGGCTCACATGGAAGATAGTCACGCAGAGATGGCAGGACTGGGGTGTTAAGGGTTCTTTGTGCAGTTGGCAGGTGGTGACCACAGAGGCTTGTTCTCTTCAGTTCATTTGAATTAGAGGTCCAGAGCGGAGTGATTCCTCTGCTGACAGTGCCCTGGGTGCAAGTGGTGAATTGTAGTGCTCTCTTTCTCTGAAAGGTCACAGATTGGGTCACACCTGAGTGCAGGCACGACAGAGGATTCGAAGGAAGAAGCTCACACTTTGGAGGACCAGGAAGTGGCTGAACTAGAAGAGAAGCTGCCTGACAAAATCCATTCCCTCAAAAAGGTAGGTGGATGTTTCTTATGTCTGAAAGCAAGGACAGAGGCGCAGTGAGAGGTTTTCCCACCGTACTTTGGTGCTTAAGGCTATGGGACTGAGGCTTTAAGGGTTATGTTAAGATAAAAGCAGTATTGACATAGATTCAGTTACATTTTTTTTCTATACGTTAGTGGGAAGTAAATGTTATAAACCTGATTTGCAAAATCCATCTCGTGTGTTTGGCTGCTCCTTGCTTCCTTACAGTTTTTTACTCTATAAGGCTGCTAGGTAATTCTCACCTTCTGCCTCTTGTCTGGTGCTTCTGGGAATTCCCTTCTTGCAGATTTATGGAAGAGGAAACTGAAAGTCTTTTGTTTTTTCTTAGGAGCAGCCAGTTTGTTTGCATTACAGATAAAGTCAGGAAACCTTGTGCAAATGACACCCAGCTCAGGACCTGTGAGTTTGCATATATGAGGAGAGAGGCCTAGTAAACTAGATGGACTTTTAACTCAGATGCAGTGATGACAGTTTCATTGTGGCTGTAGTCTAGATGCACACAGAGCTGAAAGGCTCTCCCTAGAGAGATTGTGTCTTAAGAATTCTTTCCAAGAGTAGTCAGCAAAATCTATAAGGCTGTTGCTTTGTTGAGGGGTGACAATTAACTCTGAAGCAGATGCAAAGATGTGCCTGCCCAAAGATTCCCATGGAGGTCAAGGGGTGTGTAATTTGCAGAGACTAATGCAGTATTTGACTTCAAAGTTCATGACTTTGGTGCTGTGGGGGAAACAATGCCTAGAGATGTCTTGGAGCCAGCCAGTTCTTTTACACTAACAGAAGCTTCTGCATGTCTGACTTGGTTTCATAAAGATGCCTGAATTACTAATGAGTTGTTTCAAATCCAACCAGAGACTTTTTAACTAGGATGGTCTTTGTGACAATGTTTCTTATGTGTTTTTTGCAGGAAGCTGGTGTTTGGGTAACCAACTATCATGTACCTCAGGGAGTAGGGGATATAGTCATGATTCAGTCAGATCACACTGGTGCTGTGGATATCCTCTCGGCTGAGCTGGAGACTGCAGACCTCCTTGGGGAGCAGAGGAAAGGTGAGTCCTGAAGGCAAAACATTTGTTTGGGTAATTTTTTAAGTGGCTACCCTGGCTAGAGAAGAGCAGAGACTGTCCTGGAAACACTTCTAATTCCTGCTGGAAATTTGGGCTCCTGACTAGCAAGTGGAAAAACTTCACATCCAGGGCTTCTGGGAGCAGACCCCAGAATGCAAAGGCCTTATCAGAAATAGCTTCACTGTTTTCAGATAACAGTTTGTCAGTAGTGAAAAGACAGATGAGCCTGTGATCTTTTCCCTTGTTTCAGCTCAGCCTCCCCCTCTTGCTGCACCCACCATGTGGACCACTGAGAAGATGAAGGAATTCAAAGCCAAGATGGGAAAGGAGAAGAATGGCCGGATGGTGGTGAAGCGAGGCGAAGTGGTGACAGTCCGTGTGCCAACCCACCCTGATGGGAAATGCATTTGCTGGGAGTTTGCTACAGATGACTATGACATTGGGTTTGGAGTCTATTTTGACTGGACCACGGTTACTAACACAGCTATTACTGTTCAGGTCAGTGAATCCAGCGATGAAGAGGATGAAGAGGAGGATGAGGAAATTGAAGGTTAGTGCAGATCTTATAAAGGTTAATTTGTGGTGCTTATTGCTATGCTGCTGAGAGTGTCTGTCAGATGCTATAATTTCTATCTACTTTGTTTACTCAACCCATTTGCTATCTCTGCAGCCTTTTGGGTTCTTGGTTAGACTGTGATAAGAAAGCATTTAGCCCTTCCTGTTTCAGCATATATCAATGGGTGTTCTTCCCAAAAGCATTCTTAAAATTGAGCACATTGAAAAATAAAATCAAAATTCACTCAGTCAGCTTCTTGCTGATAAAAAGATTAAAGTCTCAAATTTTACCCTGACTGTTTTTCTTAGACTCTCAGACTGAGAAATTTTTGGTGGAGTGGAGGCAAAAAGATTTTATTTCTGGGTTGGTTTCTTTTGGTTGGTTGTTTGTTGGTTTTTTGTCGTTTTCTTTTTTTTCCCTTGATACATCAGTAGCTCGTTCTGACTGCATTTGAAAGCATTGCTACCCATGTCTTTGTACTTGTTTAACACACGGCAATGTTGCCTGTTTTGCGGCTTCAGTGTATGTGTGACCATTGTAGCTGTGGGGTTGGTGTCTGAATTTTGCAGGCCATCCAAAGAGGGGTAGGTTCCTGTATGAGGAATCCTCTTGGAGAAGTGAATTGAGGACATTAACCCAATGAGGTTGTAGATAAGAGCTTACCCTTTCTTCTGCTTCAGGGCTGTATCACTGGATTGCTGTTATGTGTATAAAAGCAGTGAGGTGTCTAAAACGGAAGTTCAGGGAGAGGAGACCAGGCTGGCAGGCAAGTGAATACTCTCCCATCAGTATTCCCAAAAGAACTGCTTCTTAGTATGTCCTTTGTTATGATAAGGAAGACTGGACTTTGTGGGAATTATTTGCAGAAAGGTCAGAGGAGACGCTGTAGGTAATGCTGTCATAGCCTTCCATATGGCTGCATGTCTGTGCTGCATTCCAGCCTTGTTGGTCTTTTTCTGGACAGCCTCGTGGCTTAACAGGTTGTGGCCTACTTTATTGTCTCCTCTCTCCATTCAGGACTCTCCCCTGCTGGTGATGTGGAAAGGGGCTCCAAAAGCTATCTGCGGAACCGCTATGGAGAGATCATGCCTGTGTATCGGAGGAACAGCCATCGGGAGGTGCAGGCAGGCAGCCATGAGTACCCAGGCGAGGGCATCTACCTGCTGAAATTTGATAACTCGTACTCTCTCCTCCGCAATAAGACTCTGTTCTTTCATGTGTATTACATGAGCTGAAGAAAAGGGAAGGGGCAGGGATGGCAGGCAGGTAATGGTGAGTGTAGCAGGCTGCCACCCAGCCCTGGTACCGCCTGATGGGCACTGCTATGCGTCAGAACCAAGGCACAATTCTTATGGCTCTTCTTCAGCCATGAACTGGTTTCTCCCCACACCCTTCTTCCCCGCTGTCCCAGGGGAGAAAGGTAGTTGTGACTGCCTGGTTGTTCCCAGGCATCTGCTCTTTCTCGAAGTCTTTGGGAGGTCTGCTCTGTGCAGGCATCGGGCTGGGCCCTTACATCACAGCTGGTAATTGCCCAGGAGCCAGGTTCAGATGGCCATGGTTCTGATCTTTTGTGCTGGTACAAAATGAAGTGAAAATAATCTGTTACTATTTTGTGAATAACTTTTCCAACTCTCCTGCTGCATCTGCATCACTAGAGGGCAGCTGTCAGTTGCAATGAGCCAAAAGCACAGCTGGCTTGTCACCCAGCCAGGGTAACCTACCACCACTACAGTCACCAGCAGTCAGTGCTTCCTTCACTCACGCAAGTGAGGGTGCAGCTGGCCAGCAGCTCCAGTGGCTTGGCAGTGCTACAAAAGGTGGGCCCCAAATGGCAGTCACAACTTCTGTTTGAACAGGGTGCACACCTAGTAGTCCGTAAGAGGATTTACTACAGATTAAGAATTGGATGTTGTATTTGTTAATTGTAGGGATATGTAGGTGATTAAAACTTCAGTGACTACCAAAAGTTTTTTTCTCTAATCCAAATGTGAAGCAGAATAAATACAAAGTGGTTGGAATACAACGAATAAATATACAGGAAATGTTTCTTAGTAGCAGCATGTTGGTTCACTGGTATTACAACCATATGTAGCAAGGTTCCCCAGAGAAATGTAGCTTGTCAGCTGCTATTGCTATTGCAAAGGTATTGTTAGGAAGTTCCTTGGCATGTTTTGGTGACTCGTGATGGTACTAGTGATGACTTTCTGCTCAAGTAGTGGCAGAATTGAACAAGGAAGAAGTTAAATCCATCAGTGATGAATTTTAAAATATGTTTATCAGTAACTGTTTTTTATTTTAATACTTTTAACATGAAATCATTCTCTTTTCTAAGAATACTGCTGTATTTACATTTTGATACCTCTGAAGAGACACAAAATGGCTGTTTGTGTGGTGATCCTAGTAGAGTTCTGAGTTTTATTTTTAAATTGTCCAGGTAAAGCACCTTTACTTGGTCCATTCCTTCTATTGAGAGGGAATGATGGACAAAATTATTTTGGGGTAATTAATGCCAAAGATTTTGCTCTCGTAGGAGGGCTGCATATTTCCTATGAAGGGTATATTGTAATGCTGTGCAATTTGCTCCATATTCAAGCTTGGCCTTTTAACTGTCTCTGCTTACTTATTCACTGCCCCAGAGCACTTATTAGGTCAAAATGGTAAGAGAAACAATCAGACTACAGTAGAGCAGCCCAAGCTGAGAGGAGAAGGAGTAGTAATGCAAAGAACCACTGTGGTCCAAGCAGCGCTTTCTCAGTGAGCAGGCATGGAGCAGAGTTGATCAGGGTAAGGAGAAGAGTTATTGCTGCTTTGGGCCCCGAGATGAGCAGAAAACAGCCACCTCTCTCAAAAGAGAGAGCGTGTGCTCCTGGGTGGGGGGGAACTGCAAAGCTGCCTTACTTAAGCATGGCAAGCACAGGACAATCTTGCAAGGAGACAGAACAGTAGGGCTTGGTATTTGTCAGAGCAAAATGCTCTTTCATTCAGCAGCTTGGAGAGGGCTATTCCTTCCTTTAGCCTCTCTTGGATGAAATGAAGGACCATCCTGTGGCCTTTGTACAGCACTTGAATCATGCTTGAGCAACTTAGGTAAGGTTGTTGGTTGTTTTTTTTTTTCCATCTTTTGTCTATCAAGTTCGAAGATGTTACAGATGGAGTGATGCTCTTCACTTGTAACAGAAAAGTAGCAGTATGTTTGTTGATATAAACCAGTGATTTAACACCATTTGATCGTTTGTGTTTTGTGTGTATAGACTGGGAATGAGAGGCTGGAGAGCAGCACTGCAGAAAGGGACCTGTGTGTTCTGGTTGATAACAAGTTGAATATGGGTTAGCAGTGCCCTGGCAGCCAGGAGGGCCAACCGTGTCCTGGGGGGCATCAGGCAAAGCATCGCCAGCCGGTCGAGGTAGGGGATTGTCCTGCTCTGCTCTGCACTGGGGCAGCCTCACCTTGAGTATTGTGTGCAGTTTTGGGCACTGCAATATAAGAAAGACATTAAACTCTTAAAGAGTGTCCAGAGGAGGGCGGTGGAGATGGTGAAGGGTCTTGAGGGGAAGCCGTATGAGGAGCAGCTGTTCAGCCTGGAGCAGACCTCATTGTGGTCTTCAGTCTCCTCATGAGGGGAAGCAGGGGGGCAGGTACCCATCTCTTTACTCTCATGACCGGTTACAGGACTAGAGGAAATGGCATGAAGCTGAGTTAGGGGAGGTTTAGGTTGGATATCGGGAAAAGGTTTTTCACCTGAAGGGTTGTTGAGTACTGGAACAGATTCCCCAGGGAAGTCACAGCACCAAGCCTGTCTGAGTTCAAGAAGTGTTTGGACAACGCTCTCAGGCACATGGTGTGATTCTTGGTGTGTCCTGCATAGGCCCAGGAATTGCACTTGATGATCCTGATGGGTCCCTTCCAACTCACCATATTCTATGATTCTATGAACCTTTTATACTGAGTCACTGGAAAATACCATAAAAACTGTTTATGATCACATAGAGAACACTATGGGCCAATGCCAGGAGAAACACTGCACATAAAATACAGCAGTTGGTCATGTCCCAGAGCAACAAGGTCAGCCACATACATGTGTGCTCAATATTGCCAGAGTATGTACAGCCTGTTCTGCAGGCTCTGGGAAGACTTGGTGGTGTTGAAACTCAGTGGTGAAACTGTGTAGGACTGTTAGAGGAAATAAAAAATGATAGTTACGTTTTCTTAGAGAATTCATTGGGTTGTTCCTTACAATATTTTCTACTTTTTTTATTTGGAAAAAATACTGACGTTCATCATTCAATACCTGTCATGGAACTCTTTTTGTAAAGTGGGTACAACTGTAAGTCAATCTGTGAACCCCAAATTCTCACAAGTTTATGGAATTTTACTTAGTTCCACCACTTAAAACGACTGTCTCAGGTAGAATCTTCCAGTAGAGGAGCAGATTAATAATTTTCTTCAAATTGATGATATAGGAAGTAAAAAATATCAACAGCATGAGAACAGCAAGTTTATTTAGTAAGGCCTTTAAAAACAGAAGCCAGTCTCTGAAAATACGGTCACAGTGTTGGAATTAACTGTGCCAAATTGTCAGGAGATGGGACTATACTTCTTTTCCAGCTTCAGTGAGTCTTAGGAGAAAGAGGGAAAAGGGCTTGGACCCTCAAATCTTACAAATTATGGTCTCTCTCCATCAGATACACACTGTAACATTAGCTGATGAAGCAGAAAAAGCTGAGGAAGTACCATAATTCACATTCAGACAGAAATTTCAAAAATTCTGAAAAACCCCAGGTTCTTTAGGCCTTTAGATGGCCTAAATTTAAATAACATGTTTTAAGAAGTGAGATTTTTTTTCATGAGCTGTTTTATAAAAGGAATAAACACTTTATTAAAAGTTTATTGAAATGGTAATTGCTAATAAAATCTGAATTACCAAAACCTCTAGAAGCACTATAAATACAGGAACACTTTCATTGTATTTTTGCACAACTATTCCTACCAATATAGTTAGCTAAGAAATGCAGAGGTGTCAGCCAAGTGATGTGAATATAGGGTCCATCCACGTGGGATCCACCTGCACTGGGATCCATCCACACGGAAGGATGGGGTAAGACTGTTTTCAAGAGCATGTAGTGACAGGACAAGGAGGAGTGGGTTCAAAATGAAAGAGATTAAGCTTAGATTAGATATTGGGAAAAAATTTTTTACTGTGAGCAGGTTGCCCAGGGAAGCTGTGGATGCCCCATCCCTAGAGGTGTTCATGGCCAGGTTGGATCGGGCTCTGAGCAATCTTGTCTAGTTGAAAGTGTCTCTGCCCATGGCAGGGCGGTTGGAACTAGATGATCTTCAAGGTTCCCTCCCAACCCAAACTTCTATGATTCTATAAGTAAATGTGACAATACTTTAGCAAGATTTGATGGCAAGGTATACTTAATTGTATACTGCATAGAGGACAGGGTCAGACAAAACTGTCAAGGAGACCTTCTGCTGAGTCATGAGGTTCAGAAAGGACCCCCTTGCTTTTTAAACTCCTTTCTTGAGGTTGTAGCTGGATCCAGACTTAGTCCCTGACTTGACCAGCCATCTACATCTAAAGGATTTTATTTGCACAGTCAATCCTGTATCTCAGCTAAGATCTAAAAGTTTAGAATGCTATTAAGCACTATTACAGCAAGGAATCTCTCATCGTCGAGTAGTTAACCCTAAGAGGCATCCCTACTCAGGTGGAGATCCTGGTGCACAGCCTACTGCCTTGTAGGAGAGTGTTACAGCCCTGGGCTGTTCACTATTTATAGAGTAAGATGTTTGACTTATAGTCATATTTGTATACAAGCTGTGTTTTGGGTTGGCTCATGCTCAACTGGCCCTTAGCTGTTGAGCAAGACTCACAGCCCTGAACTGTTGTTCTTATCTGTCTTCTCAGAATCCACCTTAAGCCAGATACAACCATCACGACCACCACTGGTGGCTATTGCTCAAGCAGACAAAGTGGGAGGGGAGAGCACACTGTTACACTAGGCACTAAACAGAAGAAGATGAAAAGACCCTTAAATCTGACCACACTGTCAGCACTGCCCTACTCAATGATTGCCTTTGGTCCTTTGCTGTGAGATCTGCAGAACCCTGTGTGCACTTGCTGGTTAATGTATGATGCACTATCTGGCAGCTACTCCACTTTCTAATTAGGATTTATTTATGATGAAGGGAACTGTGACCTATATGTACATTAGATATTCCATAATTACTGATCCTCAGCCACACAGTTTGTTGCAGGCTAATGGGTTATCTCCATTGAAAACTTTTCTCTTTGTGTTGAGGCCTCCGTGTTGCCAATTCACAGCTACTTCCCCCTCCTGTCTTTCTGTTGCTCATATTAAGGTTGGAAATATATTTTGTCTTGTTGTAAAAAATTAATAAGGCCTCCTTACAACCAATTTTGTTCACTCACTGACACATAAGTAGTATGTGCCAGTTTTCAAGCCATTAGTTAATGTTTTTTGTTAAGTTGCACTGTAGATGGGAAACCTATTGCTCAATTGTTGCTTTCTAAAGTGTAGACCAACCCTTAGTAAGGCTTTGGTCACTTTTTTGGAACTGTGCCCGTCTACCTGGTCTCATTGACTTAAGCCCAAAAGCAGCATTGAATTGGAATGTTGTTTCAATAACTATGTGCCCTGTCTGCAATGCAATGTGTCCACAGTCACACTGGCCTGCTGCAGTAGAACTGAAAGCATTCAGTATGTGTTGTTTCACTACTTAAGTTTACCAGACGTACCTGGTATCTCTTACAAACACAAGATAGTTTTAGGAATATTTCATCTGCAGGAAACAGAAGCTGCACAGTTGTCCAGGATAATTCTTCTTTTTGTTTATTTTCTTTAATCTCCACATTACAGAAGTATATTGTTTCTCAGGTATTCAGATAGCATTCATTATCCAAGTGACAACTCCTCTTTGGAAGGTACGCAGTCTTTATTAATTCTCTGATAAATCCAATAGCTTGGCTGTGGAGATAGTGATTAACAGCAGCCATTCCCATTCAAAATCAACCCCAAAGTTGTTTCAAAGTAATCTTATTTCTCATGTGTCATTTTTTCAGTTTGGTGTATTTCCCAGATTTGTATTCAATCTTGCTAGCTGGCTTAGGCAGTTATGGAAACCCTTCTTATTTTAAATAGAGACTTTTGGAACTAGACCTTGGGTCTAGAAAGAATAATAAATTAAAAATGCAGTTGCACTTCAGAGAAGGAAATTAATCCTCAGGAAACAAAAATTTCTTTGTTTTTGTGGAAGGAAGATTTCAGATAGGTTTTTAAAATGTGTTTCTTCTCCCTGTAATTGTGTGTAGAAATTCAGAAAGCTAAATCAAGGAAGAAGCTTCTTTTGCATTTTGGCCTTGCTTTTGTGAAAGCATAAAATTGTTTTCCATTTTGTTTTGAATATAATTTAGATCTAAATAAAATTTACATATCTAGCCAGAGATATAAGACAGTCCTGTAGTAAAGGACTTGTATAAAAATTAGCTTGCATAATTGTTTAGTTATAATAATGGTAACACTGTCTTGGGGTTTTTTATGACAGAAAAGATAATAAGCTCTCTATTGTTTTCTCTGTTTTTTTGCTTTAGGTGTAATGTAGCAACAGGAGTTTAAAATATATGTGCTTTACTGAGGATAGAGACTTAAATTGCTTAAATCAGGGACCACTAGTACTGATTACATTTACTCAGACTCTTTGGAAGCCTATAATACATGTTCTCCTGACATAGGCTTGTAGGAAATTAATGCTTGGGACCCATTTAATACCTGAACGGGTAAGATGAAAATGCGTAAGAGAAAGAGCTTAGTTGCCTGACTTCAGGTGCTCAGAAAGTCGAATTACTATGCATTGAGTCTAGAAGGCAGCCACATTCCTTTCTTTGTGGCTCTGCCCTGTGTGCTTGTCTCCTTGT